GCTGTGCACCACCTTTGAAGGGTGAAAGACATCCGAACAGGGGCACCTTGTTGATAAAAGTCACGGGAGCCCAATATGAGATAGAGTTGCTATAGCACAGAGCTGCTCCGAGTCCCAGCCGCTCCCCCAGCTCCTCTGCACCCAGATGCAGACTCTGGGTCACTGGCTTCTGTTTTTCCTCACCCACAGATATTATTAAAGAAAAAAAAAGAAAAATCAATCCCCTTATTTTAAAGTTTGCTTTCAAGACACACACTGTGCTGTGCAATCAAAGCTGGAGCACAAAGGTCGCTCGCTGCGAGAGGCTGCCTGGCTCCGGGGCCAGCACAGAAGATGCCCTTAGATGCGGCCCCAGCCCCGGGAGGCGCCAGGCAGGGCCGGAGAGGCTCGAAATACCAGACAATCCGTGGCAGATTTTCCTCTGGGCACTGCACGTTTGGCCACCAGGGACCTGCCCCGCGCAGCCAGCACATGCCTGGAGTGTGCTGCATCGCTCGGTGTCCTTTACGGTAACTCTTACCTAATTAGTCACCCCATTTCGCATTTGTCTCTCCCATGGGGAAAAAGAAAGGTGAGCCAACGAACACGGGGAACACTCGGCCCATCCCGGCAGCGAGGCGTGCTGCTACCTAGCAGGGACGTTACCAGGCATCCAGACTTGGATGCTTTATTCCAACAGCAGAAACAGGAAGAGAGTTTGCTGATACTACAGGGGGCAAATTACAGTATTAATTTCCTTTAAGAATTAAAATATTCAGATGCCTGATCTTTTGGGCATTGACAGCAGACAGCGAGATCCCTCTCTTCTCCCGCTTACCGCTGTGCGGAAGCGAACCGACATCTTCAAAGCAGCCTCCCGCGACGCTCAGCGCCACGGCACGCAGAGAGCTGCTTACGGCATTTTCTCGTTTGGGCAGCTGCAACCTCATGGCGAGTCAATATCCCAAGGGCAGCTACTCGAATCAGCTCTCCCCTAAAGTGCACCCTGGATTAAATAGCAATACCTGGCAGCTTCACGAAGAGGAAAAGGTTTTGTGGATTCTATCGTGGAGGAGAGCAGAAGTACAACAGAAATATCAGACAACACCACAGACAAGAGTTACACAAAACGCATAAAATAAGAACAGTATTTTGCTGTATGTCAAGTTCGAAGCCAAAATGTGCTACAAACACTCTGATTCTTTTGTCATTTTTCCACTATACTTGCCCTTGGAAATAATACTGCTTAATATTGCGCAACTGACATCAAATTATTTTTTATTCCTGGCAAAGCAGTGCAGAAGAAGAGAAGAGTTATTGGTTGATGATTTGGAGAGGGAGATGAGAGAGCAATTGAATGTGACTATTTCTGTTTGGCAAGATAAAAACATCCCCCTTTCATACGCTGTTTCCCTTTATTTTAACATAGGGAAATGTCTTATTTTGCATGCACAGAGGAGCCAAGATTTCAGGGCCTGGCAAAAGGCTGCAGCTCTTGCTCGGCAGTGCTAGAGAGGCAAGTCAGGGGTTCCCTTCCTCTCTGATCCGCAGCTCAGCAAGGGTCTGGGTGCTGCCGACCTGAACAAACCGTGCCCTCGCTGCGCCCGCAAGCCCCAGCGTCGCGGTGCTGGATCGCGCTCGCCACCCCGGGCACATCTGGACCCTGCTCTAGCACTGCTGAATTCGGAGACAGCCCTGCCACCAGTTTCGGTGAGAGGAGGAAGCAAGCCCTCCTGCACGTCTCAGGAGCTGCAGTGCCTCCCCGAAGCGCTCGCGGCTTGCAAGCAGAGCTGCTGCATCACCTCGCACCCAAGCCCATCCCTGATATCTCCCATCAGCTGATTCCAGAAAGCCAAAGAAAAGTGAAATTTCAGAAAACTAGGTTGGATTAAGCTATGTGTATCTAAGCCGTTCAGCTGAAGACATTTTCCCATGCGGTTCTCCAAACGCTTCAGCGAACACTCTTCTTGGGCCTTCTGAGCTGGATGGAAGTACTGAACGATTCTGACATCAAGCATACGCACAACATTGTCTGGAATTCACCTTTTGGAGCATTTCAGTTTTCCCCATAAAGTTTCAAGTAAATTCAACTTGGCACTTTTATATTGGCACTAATTTTCTCCAAATCAAAAAGCTGAAACAAAGCAGCTTTAGAAAATCAGGTGAAAATCTCCTTGCAGAAAATTTAGTCATCTTAAGTTGATACTTTCCCCATTACAAAAAAACAGTTTTGACCATTGAATGCTTTTAACAGGAAAAAAACTTGTTAGAAAATTATGACTACTTTTAATTAGGAAGAACCAGTGATTTTTACATGGATGCTATTAACTACTTGGCTTGCAGCAAGGGCTGGAGGTCTCTGGCAGGATGGAGCTATAGTACATTTGACACAATGGTTTTGTAAAAGAACAGTCATGTTGTGAATCCTGATGTTATAAAAGTGAATACGTTCACCACAAACTTAATTTATTCATCTGGCCAGGGAATAGAAACATCTTATGACTCAAGCGTCTAACAAAAAAAATAGCCTTCTCAGTTCTTGTAGCAGGTACTCGGAACAAGCTGCTTATGAAATAGTGTCAGAGCAAGAATTATTTGCAGAAATTACTCTCCAATAATTTTCAATGATTAATGGATGTGGGGAAATCACACACTGCTTGTCCAATATCTGCATAGAAAAAGAGGCTAAGTTCACCTAATAAATGATTCACTACAAGTTATTTGCTCAGGTCTCTTGAAGCCACATCCAACTCATTGGAAAAGAGACTAGAGCGTTGCAGAAAGATTTTCTATTCGCATTTGCAGTCAGAGCACGTTGATTCTTTGGAAGCTCTCCCGCAAAGTTCAATGCTACATTGAGCTGCAGGCAGTGCAAAGGCGACCAGAGGGAGCATCAATAGTTGCGGTGAAGAATACGCAGATCTGCCCAAGCCCCAGAGAGATCTACTCCTGAAAACACGCATGTTGCACCACCACTACCTTCCTCATAAAACCTAAGGGCAGATTTTCAGAACTTTTCTCTTATTGCATCTCCAGGTCCCCCTGGACTGGGATGTCACAAGCATTTCGGTTACGCGCCGGAGGGGTGACTAGAACAACCGCTCCAGAAATCGAGCCTTGGTACCAACAGCAGAGGCTGCTGCTGATGCATGGCCAGAGCATGGCATAGCTGCAGAGCAGAGGCATCTCCAACCTCTTGGGCCCATCAGAAGAGATTCCAGGCTGGGCACGAGCAAGCCCCGTTTCCTGGGACTAACAGGCTTGCTTGCTTTGTCCCTTCAGGTTTCCAACGCTCTGCTTTGTGTTATGCAACCCAGCAGGCAAGGTTATATAATGGCATTATTGTGTCGAACGTCAACAACATCTACTGGGATTTCACAGGGGATGACAAATGAGCACAACACCTCACACCAGAAATATACAACAGAAAATGTGTTGTTTTCTACATTTCCAAAACATCTGCTATGAATCAGTGATTCAGCTCATACCCACGGCTACAGACACAGGAAAAAAAGAGGTTGGCTGCATACCCCATTGCTCGCAGGTAGCTACTCCTGTTTCTGCAGCGCAGCTTCTTTGGCCAACTGCAGGCCAAAATTTGGCATCCTCATCACACATTATCAAGATCCGGAAGGTGTCCCTAAAACTACAGCCTTAGACTTCACAGCAGCTGCTAGAGATCTCTGCTGCACACTTGAGGGCAGCTAGAGCAGCGTTCACAGGGAACGTGTGCTTGGGCAAATTCCGTAGGGCATGTAAAGTGAATTCATTAATGCAACACAGCACTCCTGGATACTGCACGCTGATTAAGCTTCTTGTGCCAGGGTGGCCCGTGGAGACATACAATCATCTACCCTGTATACCCATTGTAAACATTCAAATCAGCGCAAAAGTTTGGGGAAACGTCATCTTCAAGGCCTTTTAGCAGAAAACCTGATTTCACTGAAATGCTGCAGACATTGATGGTTTTAGTGTATTCAAAAGCAAGGGCAAAATTCAGCTAAGCCACACAGCCCCCATGAATGCAGAAATCCCTCTTCCCCAAGCTTTCCACATGCATCACTTCTTTCTCCTAGAGCCCTCCAGAAAAGGCTGGACCCATATCACCTGTCCTCCCTGGACACGGTCACAGACGCAGCAGGTGCCACCCGGAGAGGACGGTCCCGCGGTCCCCGTGTAATTAATACCATGCAAAGGATGACTGTCTGTTCTCTAATACTTTGCCAACAACATCCACCACAGAAAGTGATCCTTCACCCTCTTCTTAATTTGAAGATGAAGAAGAAAATTCCTATTCTCATTCCTGGTTAACAGAGACAGCCCCACCTTGATTATTTATGCCATTCTGCTGCAGAGCCCAACGTTTCCTTGTTTCCCACACCCACAAAGAGCATGTGTCAAGATAAGGACTGTACAGTGTTTTGCCTTTCTCAGAGGATTTCACAGCAGCACATCCTTCAGTAATTTCCTCCTCTTTTTAATAGGAACTTATATAATTTTGTTTTGAAGATATGCAGTGCTGTTAATTGCTGTTCTAACATGTCTCTAATGATATATCCCTTCTAATTGTTTATTGCTTGCCTACTTCTTAAGTGCTTAAATACATTCACAAATACTAATCTACTTTCTACACAATCAGTGATTCCTACTCAGTAAAGCATAGCGCAGCACATTGAATATTAAAACTTGAGTTCTTTTTGCTGAACTCTTAATTGATCTCCTTGCTAACTACATTTCTTTGAAAACTAGCCTGAAATTGTGTTCAAATTGCAGCCTGTCTTTGCAAATTCAGACAGGCAGAAAATGCAACAGGCAATGTTGCAGCGACATTGTTTGCAGATTAATATGCCACCAATGAAAATATTATTTTGAACTTTGACTTTTAAGAGAGCGATTTTAGATGCTGGTGTAGCTACTTGCCAGGAGCACAGAAGCTGGCACCACCCTGACACACGCAGAGCGGAAGGAGGGGAGGACGGAGCAGCTGCAGACCACAGCGTAAACAGCAAAGAGCGTCCTACCTCGTAATGCGCCACGCGCTGGGACTCCGAGATCAGCTGAGCGCTGCATACTTTGCAGTAACTTTCAGTGAATAATTCCTGGTCGATGTCAGATGATTTCATCTGTTTGCAGCAACGCAAAGAAAAGAGACACGAAGAGAATTAGTTACAAAACATTGGTAAAACAGGATATCGTTGCATTTGATGAGGATCCCTAAAGAGACAAGGCTAAAGCAATACTTGAGCTGTTTCCACCGCAAGCGAACAAAACCACGTACATAGCCAGCTACACCTTATATTGCTCATGGCTTGAAACACACTCAACCGTTTGTTCTACAATAAGAAAGAGCTGATAAGGAGTTTACTATAAAACATGAACCTCATTATAACCTGGAGGAAGGTGTTTTACAGCTGGAAAGGTGCTCTGCTACATTTCTCAATTTAGACATGGCAGGAAATTGCTTGGGTGATTTACTGGGCTTTGCAGTTCCCAAACAGCTGTTTAAGTATTTCTGTGTTCCCTACAACTTCCAGTAACGACACTCACAGCTTGATGAGTGATCTGGTTCATAGGAGACCTTAAGTCCTCCTTCATACCTTCCTCGTTGGTGCCTGATTTTGCTTGCGTGAACTCTGTATTGATAGCCAAAACGCATATTAGGAGAGCTGAGGCTTATAAGAGACTGAACACATGGAGAGCCAAAAAAACACCAGAAGTAGCTTCATAGGCAGGGTATTTAAAATAAATAAATAAAATTTATTTTGCAATTCAAGAGGAAAATAGAGGCTGATACCTCCTGAGTACTGCCAAGATTAAGTCTCTATTAATTCGCAGTCATAACAAACCCAGGCGCAGTGAAGAGTGATGATACAGATTGCATATCATTAATTTCATTGATTGGAATGAAAAACAACATGAAATAAACAAGTTAGGAGATATCATTAGAAGAAAAACGATCATGTGGAGCAAGCCCTGTCGGTTGTGGGGTTTTGCAGCAAAGACCTGGGCAGCTTTTCTGTTTTTTCTCCCGGGGCACCTCTGCCTGCCGGCCCTCCCGGAGCTGCCGAGCCGAGGGGTCGCTTGCACCAAATCCCCCAGCCGAACAGCGAGCTCGAGAGTATTAAGATCCCTGCACTTTTTAAAAAAACAAGAAGCTGAGCAGACACCAGAGACTCTCACCCTGGAGAGATAGACTAGTCTCCCCCTCCAGCCTCCCTCCAGAAGAAAGCTTATTTTGGTGTTCATGGTCTATCAGACAAAAGACAAACCTGAGAGTTGCTCTACTGGTTCCATTTCTGCACGGATGTTTGCTTGTTTTCCTTTGCTATCTGCCTAGATTTAATCTTCATTTACTCCGTCTAGAAAAATGCTGCATTGAGAAACTTTCCAAGACACCAATAGACCTTTTTAAGAGTACAAGAAACGTTGCAAAATTGCATCAAAGACAAAATAAAATGAAAAAAAAAAAATCATCACTTAAATACAACAGACTGACACAAGGCAAAGCTAAGAATCTTATTAAATCTTAATCCAGCAACCAAGGCAGAGGCAGGTAATACTGCCTTCATCTGCATGCAGCATGCAATGCTTACAGTATAAACTCTCACTGCAAAAATCAGAGCAAACCAAAAGCTACTCAGTATCAGCTTATCCCTTCAAGCTCTGAAAACAGATACCAAGTCTATTCTGCCTCTAACATATGTGCATATGAATAGGGTTTTCTGCCCCCCCCCCCTTTGCAGCAGCAGGGGCTAAACAGGCTTAACCAGCAACAGGATTTAATGTCTTGTCTTTAAGCAGTAGCTTCTGGTGTAGGTATAAGATTTGTTAGCCTCAATATTGCCTGTTAGGTTTTACACGCTATTGTTACTACACGAGGATATAACGCATCTCAACAGGTGAATACAGTTATTATGCCAACTACGTGAAGGCTACGCAGCAAGCGCTGTGGAATGATTCATGCACAACTATCCAACTTACCTAATAAAGCCTCTCCGTAAAGGCATACCCTAAAGCAATTCCTAAAGAGCACAGTTACAGGCTACACATGACAGAAGCACTCCCCACGTGGTATCTTTGGAGGTAAATTTGAGTACCAATGCATCCCGCTAGCAGTACAAGCCAATGGAAGAAAGGACTTTGGTTAGTAATAAATTATCACTAGGAAGCCAAGGAGAATTTAAGAACCTACAGTTTGTCATCTTCTTCTGTGAGAGAACCTGAATCCTGCTCCTGCTCTGCTCAGGACAGTCAAGGACCCTTTGCTAACACTGCCTGGAAACTCTTCCACGCACAGGCTCAAGCAGCGCTCGCACCTGCACTGACTCAGCTCTGACTCGGGAAGCACGCAGCACTCACCAAAATGCCCACACCCACAGGACCCAACCCGACCCGACCCAACCCGACCCTCCCAGGTGGGCTCCCATCTGCCGCTGACTCAGTCCTTCCTCATTCAGCCTACAGATGAAATGACCTTCAGCCGAGGGTGATTCAGTTGTGACATTCAAGTTGGTGCTAAAAGTTAAAGGGGACTTGGGCTGAAAGACGTCTCCCTTGCTGATAGTCACAGCTGTTTGTATGATGCTTGACAGAGCTAGAAGTAAGGAACTATCACCCATGAGAAAAAGCACACCTACAGCTGCAGTTGAGCCAAAACCCCTTGCTATGTTCCCTACACACAAGAAAAACCACATCTTAAACACATCTTTTTCATCACAGAAAAAATGTGCTACCCGTTAGAAATCTGGGATTGGACCTTGGATCAGACATCCTCCCCAAACCCAGACTGCAGCTCTTCCAGCCCATCTTCTCCCTGCCGGCAGGGCTCGCTCTCTAACCAGCCCCAGGGAGCCCTGGACATTGAGGGATGAGGGCATCTTCATGCACTTGTGAGCACCAGTGAGGCCAATACGCAATAGCTAACGTTACTCCTATGACTCCCACATTTGCAATTTGCCCTCTTACTGATGGCTGCACGTATTAATTGCATTACTGCAGTACCAAGGAGCTCTAGTATGTACCTCAGGGCTCTTGGTTTGATACAGACACAGAGCTGCATTTCCCCGAGACGGAAAGCAGACAGGACTGATGCCAGCCAGCTGGGGTGGAGGAGCACACACCATGCCAGCCAGCACTCACGGGAAAAGCAGCATCCTCCTGGCCTCTGTGCTGGGATAGATCCAAGACCACGCCTGACCTCCTAGCAGATGTTTTACAACACAGCAGCAGCAATTCCCTTGCTCACTTCAGCTAAGGCTTGATGCTTTCCACTGCAGCTGCCTTTTCCTTCCAGTGCTGTCACAGCAGCCTGCGGAGCGACTCCCGGTTTACACCGCTCGTACGAGAGCAGAATTCAGCCGCCAGCCCCCCACCTTCCCCATGCACCTGCCCTTCCAGGCCTTGTGCAACACATCGTATTTCCCGAGCAACTGCCCATTGCTGGCTCCGTTTCTCTTGCCCGTAAAGCAAACCCTTATAGTTTTGACTCGGGGCAATAGCTGCTTTTGTCCCATTTTTCTGCCCTACTCCCGGGAAACGCTTGCTGCAAGTGACTTGCCACATCCTCCCCTTCTGCGAGTGCTCTGCCCAGGCAGGACCTCAGCTTCTCCGCAGGAACCATCTCATGCCTGCCCTCAGTGGCAGGACAGCCACACGCCAAATCGCTTGACCTCCTCAAGCAGCATGACGGGTCCTGCTGCTGGCTCCTCCTCGCCTTCCTCTCATTCAGCTGCCGTCAGAAGCACAGGGCTGTTGCTCCCCCCGGGTGTCATTCAGGGGTCGAGCTCTTTCGCTCGGTTGAGGCGCCGGACGCATAACTGCAGCAGCGAGCGCAGCAGAGCACGCGAGTCTCCTTCGTGCTGACGATGCAGCTCTCCGTTCAGCGACAGGCGGAGAGGACCAGCAGCTGCCTGCGCCCCTGGAAGCGGAGCAAGCCCAGGATCGCTGGGTCGGGCTGCTGAGCTTACGGAGAGACAGGCGCTACACGTCAGGGAGCAGAGGCAGAGCCGAGGGCCCTCATCAGACTGAGGAGCCTGCCAGAGGGTTTCACTTCTGTTTTCGCATGCATTGCTTCTTAAAAGTAATGAAAATGACAGAAAGGCAGAAGAGTGAGGGATGGAGATTAGGGAGAATAAGCGGAAGCAAAGCCTTCTTTATGCTCTTACATAAATATACTAGGCTAAACTGTAGAGAGGATTCAGGCATATGTAAGCTTGGCTACTTAAAATAATTAGAAAGCTTTGGTAGCAATAACTGCTTAGGACAAAATTTATTATGAACGGTTTGACAAAAATAGAAGATTCACCTTCACAAAGGATATTTGCTGCCTCCATTAGAAGGCAGATTTCCATGTAAGCATTGCATTACCACAGCACCATTTATACAAACCACCCTAGCCAAGCTGCCACTAGAAACACAGACAGGCTGAGAACAAGTTTAAACTGAAGTATCGACCCCTGACTTGAGAAAACACAGGCTTTTACTTGTCCCACGTAAATACAGCAGAAGCAGCCATAGTCCTCTCCCCTTCTCCGTAACCCTCTCGTCTCTGCGCTGCCAGAGCGCTCCCAATCAGCCTTTCCGAGGGGCAGCCCTTTAATCTGGCTGCTGCATCCTGCTCCGGCTCTAAACAAACCTCTCACGTTTGGTGGCTGTTAGCGGGCTTGCCTTTGTTTTTCTTCTCTCTAGTACACTTATATTTTCCTTTATAGAATAACATTCCAGAGTAGTACATCAAAAGAACATCAAGGTAATACGCAGTGAAAACAGCTGCTTTATTTTCAAAGTTGATTTTCCGTTCAGGAAGTTAGACCCGCCTTGATTTCATCTAGCTGTTCTTGCAAACAGATCAGCGATAGGGAGCTAGGTAACGGTCTCTCCTGCTGCTGCAGCATCCAGGGAGCTGCCAGGCTCCAGGCCACAGCGCCACGTTTGGTGATGAGAGGAAACCGATCCGGATCGTCTCTCCCCAACGGTTCTGCTCAAACAGCTCTGGTTATCTCTTCCTCGTCCTTAGAGCAGGCAGAGGTGCTGCCTCCTCCCCACCGGTGTGCGTCTCGGGGAAGCTGAGCTGCCCCAGGGGCTTACGAAAGACATCTCCTGGTGCTGCTTCGCTGGCCACGGC